GGGGGGGGGGGGGCTCTTGAGTAGGCGAAACATGCCGAAACGGTGCCACAATTGGGAGCAGTCTCCGTTGTGATTAACCATGCTGGCAGCCGTAACGTACCAAGCCAATTTGAGACATTGTGGCACATCACCCGCCTCTGGCGAGAGCTGCGATGACTGGCAAAGGCAGCGCAGCCTGAGAGAGGTGAGGTTGACTATTTGGTGCTTTAATGTGCGAGAGAGAGATAGCTACACACTGCGGCGAGGAAAGAGAGGAGAGAGAGAGGGAGATAGAGAGAAAGAGAGGGACAAACAGAGGGATAAATGGGGAGAGGGAGAGACCGCCTTGCAACAACTTCTGCCTGCAAGATTAAGCTGCATCATCAATTTCTGTCGAAGGCCAAAGCTAGTCTGCATAGCCTGTCCATAGAGGGCCGAATCGCTAAACCCTACATTAAAGCGACCCTGCAGAAAACCCTAAACCCTAAACAACCTAAACCCTAAACCCCCAGATCTGACAAACAAAGGCCTCTGGATCGTAGAGTCAAAGGACTGCCCAAGCAACGCCGGGCGAGCCTGAACCACAGCACACATAGTATGAGGGTTTAGGGTTTAGGGTGTGAGGTTGCATTGTAGAACAAGCGTTGAAGTAGCATGATCCTTTGTATCGGTCTGATGACTCTATCATATCTTCTTATGTTGAATCTACACTCTACACACCCAGCGAGTTCTTCGGTCTTAGCGAGTGAACTGGTGGTTCATGTTGTTCCTGCAAGCTGTGCCTGAGTTGAATGTGTGGCTGGTGGGTATAGGGCTTTGGATCCTTGTGCATAAATATAGAAGCCTAAACAATTACCAATATTATTCCTTCGGGTTCCGTATCATAAATGTATTGTGAAGGAGCCCAAAACCCTATTCTGATTATTATAGCGTCCCTACATTACCTTTAGACAGGCCCGGCGTGCTCGAGCGATGTGAATTATCATGGATTTTTGTCAGTAATATAAGGGCCTGAATAAGTACCAATACTATTCTGGGGCCCCTATTTATTTATTCATCGTAGAATTTACCCCAAAACCCTCTTCCAACTATGTCAGGGTCCCTGTACTATGCCGCATCGAGCCTCGCACGGGAGCCCTGAACCCTAAACCCCCAAACCCCAAGCCCTATAAACCCGAATCCCGAGCCCTGAACACGCTGCGCACGATTGCCAGCCTCCGTCAGGAGTGCTAGGCCGACTCGATGTATGAACCTCTGCATCAACGCTTAGGCAGGGTTTAGGGTATGCAGATTCGCAGCACTGTGCGCGCGAGTCGCACGCACACCATGTGGAGTCGGAGCATCAACACCTATGCCTCCACCGGGCTTGTCCTAAACCCTAACCCCGTAAATCCTGTGCCATGTCTATGGCGGAGGCGACCAGTCCGTCGAGAGGTTTGAACAAGATCTGCAAGCCAGCTTTGGGCCAAGCAGCCTCCAGGATTTCTGGCTTTCTGTATCTGGCCAGAGTCACTTGGATCTACTGAACCACATGCACATGAATTCAGCAGCGCTGACTATGCAGCAGAGCATGAAGAGTCTGCAAATCCTCCGCCATGGCAGAACTGAATTGCGACAGATAGTTGATAAAAACGGCCTTATATATTAATTACAATGGGTCTTGGGGTGTAGTATGGGGTACTTATTTATAAATAAAAAGGGACCCCACTTCAGGCTCCTCTATTAGACTCTAACAGGTGGCTGGTTAGTCGCTGTAGGACTGCACGGTTTGGTATATGACGGGTGCACTGTGGTATACTGTGTATAGTATATCTAATTATGGTAGGTTAGAGTGCATTGTAAAGCAGTGAGGCCGCTTCTCATGATGCATCCGGCTGGATCTTGAGAATTGCATCCAGATCTTGCCTTGGTCCACAGGTTCGGGCCAGGCTCTCTTCAGATTACGGTTTAGGGTTTAGGGTTTAGGGTTCAGGGTTCAGGGTTTAGGAGTTTAGGGGTATAGGGCTTTGGAGTCAAGCGGCGGGACTCCGTACATGCAACCATCCTTGGCAAGTACACCTCCTTGAAATTTGTTCCAACCTCCGGGCAGCAGCGTCATGCAATGGCTCAACAGGCCAAACGAAGGCTACAAGGGTCGTTGCATCGTCAAACCAAGCAGCCAGCAATGGGATCGCCGCGGACGACCGACACCTTGTCGTCCTTGATCCTCAAGACGTGCTGAGCCCATCCTCATTTCAGCCATAAGGCTGCACATCAGAATAACTATTGAAGCTGCCTGGCTCGCAAACAACTCCGGGCAGAAGCTTCTGTCAGCTGACAAGTGTCTCGGGATGAAGTACACAGCTCCATCAGGGCCGAGAACACCACCTTGCCACATGTTTCTCCCCTTGAGCGGAACCTCGGCGCGACCAACCAGACACATTTGCATGACGAGGGCATTGGCAACTGCTGGCTCTTCGAGATAAAAGCTCTGAGAACAGTACTAACGATCCCAGAGTAGTGTGTAGGGGCCTGTGAGCCAAGATAATTCCCTAGAGTTCCTCATCATACATATAGTATACTATACCTGCAAGCCACATTAAAAATAATCAAGGCCTCCATATCTCTGAACCCTAGAACCCTAAACCCTAAACATATCATGCACAGGACCTTTCGGACCTGCTAGATAGCTTGTGCGACAACGGCGCATCAATCAACTCCACGTCCTCTGCGTTGGGAGAGATCCTCTGTCGAAGCAGGCGTTGTGGTACTGTAGTTGCAGCAGCAATGGAGTCGGAGAAGGAAAAGGAGTGGGAGGAGGAGGAGTAGGAGCAAGAGCAGTCGTAGCAGTCGTAGTAGTAGTAGTAGTAGTAGTAGTAGTAGCAGCAGCAGCAGCAGCAGCAGCAGCAGTCAGCAGCAGCAGCACCTCCAGTGCAGTAGTAGCAGCCCTGCGAAGCCAGAGACTACAACGCGCAATTTCAGAAACAACTCATTCGTGACATTACCAAACCCAAGGTTCAGGTTCTGAATGTAGCACCGGGTGTCTTCATGATCGACTGTGCATTGTACGGGATGCCGTAGATGCAGCCGTTGCTGCCAAGCACAGCCCCCAGCCACTTGTACTTTCCAGGGAAAGGGCCTCCTGCGTACAATGCCAGGGGAGCTGAAAGGTTCCACCTTCTGCTCTTAACACAACTGTTGCTCTACATCTTACAAAAATAATAATACATCATAGCATGTTATACAGTATATTGTATTAACATATATTGTTATACATTATTTTGTATTAAATATATAGTATTCTATTGTAGTGAATAAATGAGCCAGGAACCCCAAGTTTAGAAGCCCCCGTGCTGGACAGACATCCGCAAGTACATGATTTGGTCCCCGGGTCCTATGGTCTTAACCTCGCCGGTGGCAGGAACGACCTTGAGAACTGTCTCTGCATGGGCAGGAATTCCATAGATGGCTCCATCCGCCCCTACCACCCCACCATGCCACTTCCAGCTACCCTCCGGCAAGTTGCCGATGGTGCTCACCTTGCCTGGCAGGGCGGCTCGCAACTCTGCAACGCCACTGAAGAGCCGAGGACGGTAAACTCCATGCTGCACATGGTCTTGTCGCACAGCAAATATCATCATCAGCATCACCAGCATCATCAGCATCATCAACATCATCATCAGCGTCGTCATCACCATCATCGTCATCATCGTCATCGTCATCGTCATCGTCATCATCAGCATCAGCATCAGCATCAGCATCAGCATCAGCATCAGCATCATCATCATCATCGTCGTCATCATAAGTCATCCTCATCATCCTCATCACTACCATCATCTTCTTCATCATCATCATCATCACCGTCATCATCATCAGATTCTTCTTCTTCATCACCATTGTCCTGATGATCCTTATTGTCATCGTCGCCATCATTGTCATCATCATCACCGTCATCAGCAGCATCGCCCTCATCATCCTCATCACTACCATCATCTTCTTCTTCTTCATCATCATCGTGGCAACCTCTGACATTTGCGACCCAGTGACAGGAAAGATAATTGCAACAGCACCTAGTTCTTTGTGTATACTTGTCTGCTTTAAGTATCGAGCTCGATTCATGCTGACTTCTGCCTGTTTGAGGGTCGATCTTAAGCACGCTGTTGGCATAGTACGGCATGCCGTAGATGCAGCCATCAGATCCCAGTAGGCCTCCGTACCATTTCCATCGTCCGGGCATTTTGTCACCTATTGTCTCGGCTCGATCACTTTCCGGATCAATTCGCAGAACCGATTCAGCTTCGGCTGGAATGCAGTAGATGGCACCATCCGGCGCAACAACAGCTCCATGCCATTTCCACTTCCCCTCAGGCAGACTACCGAAGGTGCTAACCTCTTTGGTAGTAGGTGAAATTTTCAGCACTGACTTTGCGCGCGCTGGAATACCAAAAATGTTGCCGTTGCCGGCCATCAGACCCCGTGACCATTTGAAGGTGCCCTGCTCCGCGAAGCTTCCGAAAGTCGATATGTGACTGTCCGTAGTGGAGATCTGAAGCACTGCATCTTTGTTGCAAGGTATACCTCACGGTTCTTGTGCGGTCTGCATCACCGAAGAACATACATAGCACAGGCTCTCTCCTTTTCAACTTATTTCGTCTGATGAATGACTAGTCGCAATAGATGTTGCCATCTAGGCCAAGCACGCCGCCCAGCCATTTGTTTTTGCCTGACAGCAGCCGGCTGCCCCGATGAAGGAGGCTCGCGCTGGCGCGGCAGCAGGTCCTGAACCAGATTGTGAAATATTGCCTGAACCCTAAAGTCCCTGAAACAACCACAAACCCTAAACCCTGAAGCCGGAACCCTAAACCCTAAACCCTGAAGCCTGAACCCTAAACCCTAAACCCTGAAGCCTGAACCCTAAACCCTGAAGCCTGAACCCTAAAACCTTAATGCTAAAACAACCCCAAACCCTAAACTCTGAAGCCTGAACCTCAAAACCACCCCAAACCCTAAACCCTGAACCCCAAAACAACCCCAAACCCTGAACCCTGAACCCCATATCCCCTAATTAAACCTTCTGCACCACTCCTGAGAGGCTAAAACCTCGGACTCTTTGCCCGGGAGCCCTGGAAAGCAGGAAACTTCAGGCTCTGAAGGGCTAAACCCTAAACCCTAAACCCTAAACCCTCCCTGGATCCCAAGAAACCTCTAGGGTTTCAAGGTTCAAAGCTTATGGTCTAGGGGTCTAGGGTTTAGGGTTTAGGGTTTAGGGTTTAGGGTTTAGGGTGGTAGGGTTTAGGGTTTAGGGGTTTAGGGCTTAAGAGTTTAGGGGTACCCCAAGAAACCTCAAGGTAGGGCTTCACGGTTTCAGGGTTTGGGGTCTCAGGGCTTCAGGGTTTCAGGGCTTAGGGGTTGGGGTCTAGGGGCTTAGGGTTTAGGGGTCTAGGGGTTTAGGGGTCTAGGGGTTTAGGGGATTATCGTTTCAGGGTTTGGGTTTAAGGGTTTAGGGCTTCAGGGTTTAGGGTTTGGGGTCTAGGGGTTTAGGGTTTAGGGGTTTAGGGTTTTTAGGGCATGAAGTTTCGAGTTTTAGGATTTAGGGGTTTCGGGGTTCAGGGGTTTGGGGTTTAGGGGTTTAGGGGTTTAGGGGTTAAGGGGTTAAGGGTTTAGGGGTTTAGGGTTTAGGGGTTTCAGGGTTTCAGGGTTTAGGGGTTAAGGCTTTAGGGTATAGTGGGTTTCAGGGTTTATGGTCTAGGGCTTTCGTATTTTGACATCCACTTGCATAGGTCCTTAGAAAAGTCGGCTATTCCGGGTTTACTTGGAGGATCATGGGACTTAGTAAGCATGGTTATCAGTCCCCTAATTGGGGTTATAATTATAGTTTCCTTAGTTATAACCCTACTTACTAAGTCCCATGAACCTTTAAGTAAGGTAGACCCGAAGACTCGCCCGACACCCGAAACCACCAGAACCAGCCTCACGATGCGGGAACCGCCGGGCCACGGATAACCAACCCATGTCCGGCCGGGAACCCAAGCCACGGCAACATGAAGCCCGAAGACAAGAGCCTGGGCTCGTTTCGGCCTTGTTTGGGTTTAGGGTTTAGGGATTAGGGTTTAGGGTTTAGGGGTTCAGGGTTTAGGGTTTAAGGTTTAGGGGCTTGGGGTTTAGGCTTTCGGGATTAGGGCTCTCGATGACCGGAACTGAATTAGCCGGAGCATGCTCCTGTTGTGGAAAGCACTCGCAACTTAAGCCCGAAACCCTAAACCCTAAACCCTTAAACCCTAAACCCCTAAACCCCAAACCCTAAACCCCAAACCCCAAACCCTAAACCCTAAACCGTTTTAACACCCAAACCCTAAACCGTTTTAACACGCACCGAAGGAGCTCCAATCTGCAGGGAAGCTTTCTGCTTCTTCGCCATAGGAACACGGTGAGCGGCCAGAATGAAGAGCCTTGAGAATGCATGCATGGGGTTTTAGGGTTTAGGACTTAGGGTCTAGGGTTGCGTAGGGTCACTTCAAGCTAGGTGTAATGTAGAGGCCTTAGCAATTAGAATAGGATTTTGGGGCCCAATAAGTATAATAAGGAACCCCAAATTAGTACTTATTCCCCCGCAATATTAATATATACAGATGCATATATATATATATATAATGCTAATAAATTAGGTTATTATTATTATTAAGATATATATATATATATATATACACATAGTATAGGACTTCACATGCCTGGATGGATCTACGGTCGGCTGCTGACCTGCGAAGAAGATCTCTGCGCAGGGCGTGAGCTGTCTGAATCACAGAGCAAGCTGAGAGATTACTTACTGGGTTTAGAGGTTTGGGGTTAGGGGCTGGGGCTGTATGCTTTTAGGGTTTAGGGTTTAGGGTTTTAGGGTCTTAGGGTTTAGGGTACTTACTGCCATGGCTGAAGAAGCAATCAGTTCTGTAGTGATAAACTGCGCGAGTCAAGATTGCAAAAACGCAATAAACCCTATAACCCTATAACTCTAAACCTTAAACCCCAAACCCTATAAATCCCATAAGCTAGACCCTGTTCTTGCCGCTCATGACAACCCATCAGCCAGGTGGAAGCGCCGAGCATCCGACTTCATCCCACGGCACAAGAACTGATCCCAAACCTTGCATCAGGTTTAGGGTTCAAGGTCGTAGGGTTTAGGGTTTAGGTGTTTAGGGGCTTAAGGCTTTGGGTTTAGGGGTTTAGGGGTTTCGGGGTTTAGGGTTTTGGGGTTTAGGGTTTAGGGGTCCTTGCACCGCATGGTGGCTTGCGACACTTAGGGGTCCCCTCTGGGGTTGGCCTTAATGAGGTTTCTGCACTTTCCGACTGCTTAGTGTCTAGAAGAGGCCACATGGCATCCCGAAGCATGCACATTCTGACAGCGTGGTTCATGCGATCTCCTCGGGTTCATGAGATGGGGTTGTCCTGAGATGTGCTGAGGCTGCAGCTCTGAGCAGTTGCGGAAAGGGAAGCGAATAGGCGAAGAGCGTCAAGAACCTTCCGGCCAAAGCACCCTAAACCCGAAACCCCGAAGCAACATCTTGGCAAACCAACGACCAAGTACCCTTAATAGAACCTGTTGCTCCTAAATTTTGGGTATGTGGGATTTCGTCAATGGCTAAAGTAGGGGTCCTAACGGAGCAGCTTTGGGGGGTAAAGTACGCTCCAACTACAATGAGAAACAAACCTTACTGGTATCACTCCAACTACTCAGGGGAACTACCCTAAACCCTAAACCCTTAAGCCCTAAATCCTAGTTGTACGCTCGAGCCCTGAACACTGGCCCCCGCCACTGCGTAGCGTAGAACTCGGCGCTGATGTTGAAGCGATCGAAGGTAGAAGCAAGATCCGGCAAGTATGCCTGATCGAGATGTCCATTCAACATCGGGAGCTGGCGATGCGATAATGCTTATCTAGGATTAAGCTGCATATACAGAAACATATGCATATATATATATATGTACAGAGAGAGACATATGTAGAACGGCGTATATATATATATATGCATATATATATATGCATACATACGTACATACATACAGTCTTCGTCTTAGAGCAGCAGCAGCAGCAGCTTGCGCTGCAGTAAGACCCACTAGTGATCCTTCCCCCCCACCCCTTCACAACAACAAAAACAGCACAGCACATGGGAGACATCACATGGTCCTTCCCTCTCCTTGCCCCCCTGCCTCCCTCCCTAACACTTGGCGGTTCGTGGCTTTATGAATCCGTTTGCCGCTTGCTTTGAAGACTTGGAGGTTCTGAGCAGGAGGGCGAATAGCATAGCAAAAGGAAAAGGTGCGATGTGCAAGAAATCCTCGCCTCGTCGAGTTTGCTCGCGATGGCATTCAACTGTTTCTCCGCAACATGCACCTGGACTGAGAGGTATGGCTTTCTGAAGTGCCCGGATGTCCTCTTTCAGGTGCAGCCTTGAGCAATTGCAAGACTGAATGTCGCAGACGATTACTACTTAGCCAGCTTCCGGATTTGTGAATGGCAGGCGTTCGCCCCTGTGAGATTTTCTGGGAGAGCTTATGGCTTGAAGCTTCTTGCTCGCATGGGGTGGAGTCAGCAATCGAAGGTCGTAAATGCAGCAGCTATCAACTCAGCCGAGGGACATGTGGAAGGAAACGGAAAACACCTGTTCGTAGTATAAGCCTCACAGTTGTGGCGGCCTCTTGCAGCAGACGGCACTCCTCGGACATCGGAAGAGCCATCATGACCAATGTCATACTGCTGCTGCTGCTGCTGCTGGGCCTCATGTAGGTGCGGCGACTACTGTGCCTTACTATGCACATTACGCAAAGAAAGACACTACCACTGCCATTTCCAAGACCACTACAGCTGCATCCACGAAGACGACAACTACTGCTACCCCGACGACCCCATCCTCCTCCACTCCTCCTCCTCCTCCTCGTACTGCTGCTACTACTCCTCGTACTGCTGCTACTACGACGACGGCTGCTGACACCACTGCTGCTGCTACTAGTGCTACTACTTCTACTGCCGCTGCTGTGACCAAGATGACGACTAAGGTCAAAGCTCCTCGCAGGCTTGTAGTAGTGGGTGCCCGGAAACTACCGGGGCTTCAATGCGGCTTTAAGGTGAACCATTCAAGCTGGGCAGGAACGCTGCGCCTTCGGTGCTTGCTGGGCGGAAAAGTTGGACTCGCAGGCTGCTCAATAGACTCACAAAGTACCGCGATCGCGACAAGCACTGAGTCTCTCAAGATCCCTAGACTCCGGACAGGCCTGTCGGACGAAACGCCCATTCTTCAGACTCTGAACATGAAACCTCAAGTGCAAATGACTGCAAATCCTGAAGTGAAGCCTAGCCCGTCTCGTAAAATGTTAGGCAACAAACCCATCTCTACATTTCTCCCTACGTCGCCAGCTGCTGCAGTGACCATCTCTACCATGCGCGCTTTCTGCACCCGACAGAAAGGGCTGATAGGGCGTGGGATGCACATAGCGGTTTAAGAGGTGAAGGGGTTTGGTCGTTAGGGGCTTGGGCTCACACAGACTCTCACATGAGTACAAGGTTTCCGTTGGGCCAGTGGGGTAGCGGACAAGGCATGCAGTCCTCCTTCAGTCGCTCATCAAAGTCAACGACTTCCTGGAGCAATCGTGATAAGTCTGACTTTGCACAGCGCCTTGTTTCTTCAAAGGCTTTGGCCGAACACGGGGAGTAGCTGGTGCTGAAGCCTTCCTGTGCTTACTGTACTTCGATGGTATGATATATTCTTCTTTGCGTGTATGGCTACAAGTAGCGGCTACAACTCGAAAGCTGAAGCTTTATTGGGAGTGCCCGGCAACCGCAACACCGATCAACACAGTATGGCTCAAGAGAGAATCGACTGAACCAAAACCAGGGCCCCAAATCAAGGAACACCTATTGAATATCTACACGATGGTCGTAATACTGTTACCATTATTACCATATGCCTTCATTCGGGCAAGGCGCCTCGTCGCTCGACTCCTGCGCATGCGACAGGCGGTTGCGGCTTTTGCAAGTACGACAGGCCTACGCTTCGGGTTCAGGACCTGTTTGCTGCGCAACGGATTCTGCCTAGAGCGATACCTGCATCTCATACATCAAGAAAGCATACTGGGTGTTAAACTGCACGGCATCCTTTCTCAACAAAGCCGGTGCTCAAAGGACATCTCCGTGCAACCTGTGCCATGTAGGCTGCAAGCGCCTCCAGGGCACCTCTCTGAAGCTGGATCTGCAGCTCATCGAGAAACCCGAAGAGCTACAGGGACATGCATCTAGAGAAAGCCTCTAGGCGCTAGGTAGCCCTATACCTGTTCCTTGAATGGGCCGCCGGACAAGCTACCCTAAACGGTGAACCCTAAATATCATAAACCGGAGTACCACTCACAGGCTACACTAAACCCTAAACCCTAAACCCGAAACCCTAAACCGCCTCAGCAGGTGCCGGAGGCGACGGTTTTGGCGCCGGAGCGGCCTGCACTCCCCAACTTTGCAATGCGACTTGAAAGACTTCGCCGGCCGCTGTATGTCAACCACTTAGTTACTAAGCAATTCGAAGGTAAGACTTCGGGACCTGTTATGGAAACTGTATACCAGGCTGTAAGGGGATACTAAGACGAAAGTTTCAGACCCCTACACGCGAGCAGCTGGGGCTCACGGAGTTGTCGGGTCGCGGACAGAGACACAGAGAAATTGCGGAGTCGCTGCGCGGGCAAAGGCCGCAGGACCCAGAGACTCCAATACCCCTTAATTAAGGAATATATCTTAAATTATAGTAGGATCCATAATATGATTTAAGGTATATTCCTTAATTAAGGGGTATTGGAGTCTCTGGGGACTCGAACCAGGGCCTGCTACCCCTGCTTGCAACCGCCCCGAGTCTCGAATGCACATGGCGCCGACATTTGCGATCGACCTGTGCCTTGAGCCCTCTTCCTCAAAAAACGCAGAACCAACAAGAATGGTAAGTGCAGGCTCAGCAAGACACAGTTCATCTTCCTGGATTAGAACTATGAATACTAGGTGGCTGCATTCAGCATCACCTGCTGCCCTCGAAGATCCCTCAGCCAACACCCCCTGTGCCCCTAAGCCTTAACCTCTTGACTCTGAACCTCGTTTTCCTCAGCCTTCAAGACGCAACCCAAAACCTCGCAATCCGTCACTCCGGAATCCCAGCGACTGATTGTAGGGGCTTTAATAATGAAAATAGGGCTTTGGGCTCTTTTACATTTACACTATCTTATATTATATTATATTATATTATATTATATTATTTATACTATATTACTTTAGATTATACTATACTATATTATATTTATTATAATATTACTATAAAAGTAGCAAAGGAACCCCAAGGTTTCTGCATCGCTGCCTCTGCAGGCAGACGGGAGGTGGAAGCTGCTTTGGCAGTGGCGCGCCGGCGACTCAACCAAAGAAACAGCCTCGGATTCGGGTCTTATCGATTGGGTGACTCTCATTCCCAGAGACTCCAATACCCCTTAATGAAGGAATATGCCTTAAATCGTATTAGGGATTTTACTATACTTAAAGGTATATTCCTTGATGAAGGGCTATTGGGTGACTCTCATTTTCCTTTTTTGGTAGAGTCTAAAGTCTAGACATCTTACAGGTTGGGGTTCAGTTGATTCTGAAGAATTGAAACAATACTCATCCCATACACCGTCACCGTCACCAGCACAAGTCATGCGTCCCACGCTTCAGGGATATAGGGCTCTGCTCCAGGTGACAATCTCTTGAAACCACTTTCCAAGGGAAGCCAAATTCGAGGCCAAGGGGCCCCAGCAGTGACACGCCGGCAAGGAGCCGTTGCGCGTATGGCAGCCTGACGAAGCCAAACCCGGGATTGTGATGGCCATGGATGTCTTGACGCAGCAAATAGTAAACAACGTAAGGTGTGAAGAGTATACGGGCATGAAGCACTAATGAGTGAAATGAGGGCACGGAAAAAAGGCATTGTGAACTCGGCTGGCCTTCCTGCCAGGATACTTAAAATTTCTGAAGCATCAGCAGCAGAGGTAGCTCTGCAAGCTCGACTGAAACGAATCTGGACCTCCAACGAAACATCCCTTTTACCGCTCTACAGCAAGAAGCCTGAGAAAGATCAAACCCCGTCTTTGGAAAAGTAAACAATTGAACCTACAGCGGAGCTGACTCAACTCGCCTTCTTTCCCCAATCCCAACTTCTACGTGCAGCGGCACAGTGCCTTGCTGGCATCGCCGGCAGGCAGAAGAAGGGCAGTCTCCAGACTAGGTTTCCTACTTTGCCTTGCAGGGTGGCTGGCTGTATATGGTAGTTTCAGAAAACTAGGGTACCGAATTTAGGGGTCCTTATAGTAAGGATCCTACTACTTGGGGTCCTATATCAGGGTCCCCTATTTTTTCTGAAATTTCTATATGTGTCTACTTGGTACTGCTCCTAAAGATCAATAATAAGGCCTACCTGAAGCTCGGCTCTGGACACCAAAGCGAGGTACATGAAGTAGTATGTTTTGGGAGGTATAGCTTCTAATCTTTAGGGGTTTCGCACCGTGATGACGGGAGTTGAAAAGCGAGCTTGAGGCTGTTGAATCATGGCGACATGGTCATGAGGACATGACTCTGTGAAATTCCTACAAGCTGCGCCAGTTGTGCTGTACCCTCGAAGCCTAAACCCTAAACCCTGCTAAACCCTAAACCCTAAACCCTGCTAAACCCTAAACCCTAAACCCATTTTGCCATCCCAAAACCAAGGAGCCTGCTACGGGACCTGAGCTCCATCCTGGTGGTCTCTCTGTTGCCGGCAAACTGGGGAAGGCCCAGGTTTATTTGCTACCTGCCCAGAGACTCCAATAGCCCTTAACTAAGGTTATATACCTTAAAGTATAGTAGGATCCC